TAGATTAAACTATTTTTTTGTAATTTGTTTTCGAAAACTTGTGATAAGATATTTTTAGCAAGGTGTTGAAAATCGTGTTTTTAAATTTTTTTTATTTTTACTTTTTTATTAACTGTACGACTTTTTTCAAACCTGGGGCCAATTCCTGTTCTGTGAAAACGTGAAGGGAAAAAATTTCTATCACTTCATATAAAATTAATAATTTGCGAAAAAGTTTCACTGTGAAACCTTTTTTCCACAAAGTTTTGTGGCTGTGAAAAATAAAAGTTGGGAGTTTTTCTCTAAACCATCATGTTGTGATAAAGAATATCATTGTCTTAAACTCACAATAATTTACTAAATGGATTAGCATTCAATGATCGAGAATCGCTTAAAATGATATAACGACACGATAAAGTGAAAAAATTAAATTTTCACTGACATTGAATTTTTCATTTTCACTTCACAGTTTCTTAGAACCAGAATTGGCCCCCTGCGTATATAAAGTTTCATAAAGTTTATACATCAAGTTTATGTACGCAGGTATGAAAAAACTTGTAACTTTTCCAGTTTTGGTGTTTCCATTCACAAATTTCTACAGCGTACTCCATAAAGTTTGACAACTATTCAGGTAAAAAAAAAAAATAAATAAAAATCGAATATGGTATAGTTAATAAAAAAAAAATTAAAAATAAAAGAATGCAATTTTTAATTAAACTTTTTTTTTATTTTAATCTATCTCATTTTGATACATTAACTTTTTTTCTCCGAAAAATAGTTTATCAAATGTCTCGCCTTTTCTAGATTATGGATATTTATTACTACTCATAAACGCTATAATTTTATATGTGCTTTTTGCGAAAAATTTCCACCTTAAGTGGATGACAGACTTCATCAGGTACTTCTTCGCCCACTGTTATAGACACGTCACCTTGTGGACAAGCGCTTAACGCCACTAAAAGATTCATATCAGCTACAAATTCAATGTAATCACCCTTGCGAGCTGGACTGGGCTTGCAAAAATATTGTTGAGTATCCTGGAAAGAAACATCCATAAACACCATTAAATTGACTTTTTCGCCTACAATATTTAAAAACTCACTCTCGTAAAACCGGTGCACATGAAAATATTCCATACATCATGTACATCTTCCTCCTTCATGCCGCGCTCCTCGACCACTGCTTTGGTCAACGAACTATGGCAACTGCCCACACGTTCTTTGCCGGTGATTAGCTTATAAGTGTAATCATCACAACGCGTACCGATCACATCATGTAATGAACCACCATCCTCATCAATGCCGTAGGCTGCAAGCGAGTCGTAAACGAAAGTGGCCATCGGACGTAAATATGGTAAATTGCTCCACAAGCGATCGTACACTTTCAGATGTGAGCTATGCAGTTGGCGCGTCTTGCCCGAGTAGAAACGTTCTTTGGTATTATCTAAGTTCCACAAATTAACATCGCCCACCTGTGAGCCTTCGCAGACGGTGATGCGACACAAGTCGCCAGTCTGCATTGTCCAGGTGCGCGCGGTGCGCTTTGGCACGATCACTGTCTCGATGAGCTCTCCTTGGAGCGCTTCAAAACGCTTATCGTCGTATTCCTGTTGGTTGACCTGTGCTGAGGCAGGTTTATTGTAACATATCAAGGGGGAGTGTTTGGGAAATGTGCGCGGCTTGAAACCGCGTCCACACCAGCCACCATTGCTTGCCATGTTTTCAAAAGTTTATTTTTCTAGCCTTTTAACTTTTACAGAAATAGTAGTTTATTTTAATAATAAAAATTTAATTACGCAGCTACAGCAAATACGAAGTTAAATGCTATTGAATAGTAGAACTAGGAATGCTAATCAACTGAGATTAGATTGAATTTATAAGCTATTTAGAGAGAGAAAACGTGTTTTGTTTATTCAAACACAAGCAAAGATCGGTATGTACATATGTGAGCTTTTAGAAAGAGCTGCTACTGATAACAGAACGTAATACATATACAAATTGTTCGAGATTTTAAGTCAAACAAAATGCTATTTAGCTGGATAAATCTGGCAAATTTGAATACGCTGCTATTGCAGCCGATTGGTTAGAGCTGTGTACTGCCAGCAGGTCCGAGAAGCATCCC